TCTCCCCACCACTTCCAGCCCCCTCCGTCCCTCTCTCCCCCTCTCTCTCTCGACCACCCCCCGCCCCTCTCTCGCCATTGGTCCCGTCGAGACAAAGAGCAACTGGCACAAAGTCATCGAGTTTTCTTCAATTTCTGAGTTCACCAAGGATAACGGGCGAGTTAACGTCCATTTTTGTCCCAGCAAAAATTGGCTACGTTACAGTGGCGCCCAACGTGGGGCTCGGATTCATTAGACACATAAATTTCATTTTTATGCTTGGTTGTGAACCTTTAGTAGTATTTTTCATTTTTCATTTTCTGAGAGTCAAAGACAAATATTTTTTGCGTTCAAGACGTCAATTACCGTTATGCTAAGTTGAATTTTCCGATTCATTCTGGCCATTGCACTCAGTTGTGGTTTCGGATATCACGTGCCTCTGAAGGCAGGAAACAAAGGATATCTATTTTATGTTTGAAAACAATCCGATCCGTGCATTAAAAATGCCAATTACGGCCGTACCAATGTGCATTCAAAAATGTGACATATTGCACTACGTGCCATTGAAAGAAAAATAAATACATGTATGTGTTTAATATCTCTTCTCTTGTGTTAGATTCAATTATATTCGCTGAGAACATGAAAATTTTGAATTGACAATAACTCCTAGATTATTTTCGACGAAATACCTTTCTCTGTCCATCGGTGACTGTAGTGATAAACACTTTTTGATCCACTGGAACCAAAACAAAACTCGAGCCACTCTGGCGTTATATGAATTTACGTCGTATGAGAGCGAAAAATATTGAGACGAGGGAATATGAAAATATTCTCATTTATTCGGAAAAATAAAAATTCAAGAGGTAACTATCTCGTTGCCATACGATCGCCTTCATAGTCGAGATACGCGGTAACGTATTAGCCAAGTAACTATTTCGAGTCTCATTCCTCATTCAAACCAGGCCGAGTGCTACCGCGTATCTATACACGAAGCAACTACTCCCTCCACTACCTCTTGATGCAAGTTATTTAATAAAAATTTAAACCCGACATATTACGTGAAAACTGACCTTAGTTTTATAATATAAATCGCATATGCGCTTCCCATTTATGCCATCCCTTTTTTTTAATGAATATTTACAAAGATACGTGCATAACAAGCCGTTTCACTTCTCATTTTCCGTACTGAGATTATCTCAGCCTTAGTTTTTCGTCCCCAAGTTGGCAGTAACCGTCAACGTCATTTCCAAAGAGGATAGACTAATGAAGTAGAGGTTCAGCTCTCCAGAGGCAGGCGACCCCAAGCTGAAATAATAGTGATCAATAATAATGAATAGCGATCACCCCAGGGTTGCCAACCATACCATTATCATGGTATCTATATCATGAAATCGGGCCCCATACCATATACCATAATGCCCATCCATCCGTTCTTCCCGCAAAAATGTATACATTTAAAAAAAAAACATAAAAATGCTTTATCGATTTTTGTAAAAAAAACACGAAAAAAAAATTTCTAAGAGAATTAGAGTTTAGAGAGAAAAAATTTCCGCTTCACCCAGCCGGGAATCGAACCCGGGTCTCCCAGATACGCGCCGGGCACTCTTGCCGACTAAGCTACCGAGAACCACAGAAATTCACTCTCAAATTCACCTCAAACACCGCCTAACCTCCTTTAGGCATTAAAGATGTATACATTCTGTGGCATTAAAAATGTATACATTTTTGCGGGAAGAACGGAAGGAATATATGTATATATATTTAAATAACTTTATCAAATGTTTTCATTTTTGAAAATTTACCGTTTGATTACCTGAAAATATAATAATCTAAACAAGACGAGGAGAGTAAGAACGGGGGTGAGAAAACTGGAAGAGTCGACGAGAAAACAGATGAGCAACAGACGAGTGGAAATGAAGAAAACCCAGTAGTAATGAATACTCTCAAATCAGGTAAATTTAAACCCCAGGTGATAAAAGTCGAATACGTGGAACCTAAAATTGTAATAAGAAACACGATACCAAAACCCTCAAAAGATCCTGCAAAAACTAACTCTAACAATACCAAATCTAATATTCCAGTGGAAGATAAGTTAAATTTGGCAATTGAGAAAGTTAACAAAGTAACTGACACTCTTAAGGAGATCGCCAATCTCCAGACAAACACCACTCGGTTTATCTGGGACAGTCTCAATGACGTAGTTAAAGAATTAGGTGACATAAAAAATGATAAGCAAGAGAGACTGACCAAAATTGAAGTGAATCTTGAAAACTTAATGGCTTGGGCTGAGTCTGGAGAGTTCTCTGAAGAGGTATTGGACGAGAATATTAAAGTTAATGAATTAAATGAGAATGAAACGGACAAGTTGGATGAGAAAATTAGGGATTTACTTAAAAAGCAGATTAATGAATTTAAATTACAATTTCTGAGTCAAATTGGAGGAGGCAATCAGGATGAAAGTGTCAAATGGGTTGCTGACTCTATTAAACAAAGTTTTATGGACAAAGGGTCAGCTGTAATAAGAGACTATAAATTAAATTCTAACACTAGATTTGAACACTTCTATGACTTCTGCAAGTCTGAGGTTAGGTCTCACAAACTTCTTCACATTCTCAAAGATAAAAGTGAATTCAAAGGAGATAAAAATATTCTTGAAGATCAGAAATACAAAGTTAGAGATATTTTAATTAATCACATCGATAAAAACTATCATTCAAAGGTTGTCAATATTCAAGATCCAATTGAAATTTTAAATAAACTAAAAGAAATAAAAAGATTTGAAAACTACATTTCCTCGTACACGGTGAGACAGGAGATCTCAACCATGAAATATGCTATTGGTCAGACGACAGCAACAGAGTTTTGTGAGAAGTTTGAGGAGGCCACTCGTAAATATGAAACCTCAGAAGATGCTAACCCTTTGTCTCTTAATAATGCCATTATGAAAGCTGTACCAATGGTACAGTACTTGCAGTCCACAGCTAAAATAAAAGGGGAAAACCCTCCAACTTATGAACAATTGAAACTGGTAATTATGCAGAAAGAGGCGACGAGAAAGCAACCCGAAACTAGAGTGGGTGAGGTTAGGGCAGCAAATATGACCTTGAGCGATGTAAAGTGCTACAGTTGCCGCGACAATGGTCACATTGGGAAGAACTGCCCCGGTAAAGGAAAAGGAAAAATGTGCTACAAATGTCACAAGTATGGGCACACCAGGTTCTAGTGTCCTGAGTTGGGTGAGTCAAATTACAAGCCAGAGTCTGTACCTAGGTTAAATTATTTACGTGGTAGAGGAGGTTTTCGTGAATCTGGGAGGGCAATTGGTTCATTGAAGAGAAAAATAGAAAATAAGGATGAGACTGGGTCAGGAAATGTGAAAAGGGGTAGATTTGACAGGACGAGGGGTAGGGGAGGCTATGGATCTTCAAACAACAATGCTCAGATGAAAGCAAGTAAGAAGGAGCAGAATAAAGGGTCACGAGCAAATGATAAAGATAAGGGTAAGTCAATTATGTTCAAAACTAATAATTTATGCAAAGGCAATGCCATGAACGTAGATGTAAAAATTCAGGAAGACAAGTTTATCACAAAGTTTCTAGCTGACTCTGGGGCAACAGAACATTTAACAAATTCAAAAATAATATTTAAATCAATTGATTAAAGGAATAAAGGAGTGATTAAATGTGCTAATAAAAATGAAAATGCAGACTTAGGAACGGAGGGAGTGGGTGAGATAGAAATTGTTAAATGGTCAGAAATTTCACATAAACGAGGTTTTGTTTGCGGATGCCCTTCAAGCTAACTTGCTGTCATTAAGACGAGTCGCAGAAATGGGTCTCGTGATTTATCTAGATGACAAACGAATAGACATTTTTAATCCAGAGTGAAATGAATTATTTATTTGCGGTGTGTACAGAAAACCATACTGGATAGTCGAGTTAGAAATAAATGAACTTTATTGACTTGACAACAATCAAGTCAATAAACATCTGCAAAGATATGTGAACAGAAGACTTATAGTGAACATGGTAAGTGATAACGCAGAAATAAAAAAACATATGACTAGAAGTGTTACAGCAAGTTTAAATGAAGAAGCAAACAAAAATAATTCAATTGAAAATAATGACAGGAGCATGGATTTACTAAAAGAAGTTAAAAATAATGAACTGGATGAGGTGGAGACTAGTGAAAGTTTAAAAACTGCAATTGTGTCTAAACCGACTCTTGATCAACATGTACAATCAAACTTTGATTTTTCAATTTCGCACAGAAAGTTAAATAATGCAGATGAATTACGATTTGAAAACAGTGCTGAAAATTTTAATACCTTTACAGATGAAAAAGATAAAATACAGAAAAATTATAGCGCCTTGCACGCTAGATTTGGACATGCGTCAATAGCGTATCTTAAAGCCATTCAATTAAAATTTCCTAATAATAAAGAATTGAAGGATGTGATTTTTGACGATCTCTATTGGATTGTGAAGTTTGTATGGCGTCAAAATTTAACAGATTGCCATTCCCCAAGTTAAGAAATCGAGCAACTGAACCCTTGCAAATAATACATTCTGACGTGATGGGACCAATAACCCCAGCCTCACATACGAAAGGATACAGGTTTATATCAGTATTCATAGATGACAAATCCAGATTCGCTATGGCGTACCCAATGAAAACTAAAAGTCAAACTGGTCAGTGTTTATAAATGTTTGTTAGGAGTGGTAGAAATCTACTGGGTCAGGATTCGAAGGTTTGTTATCTTAGGTCAGATCAGGGTACTGAATTTACAGGAGGTCATAGAATTGAAGTGTTGAAGAGTTTGGGTGCAGAGTTACAATTGGCAAGTCCTGACACTCCTGAACATAGTGGGGTCCCGGAACGGTTTAATCAGACAATTCAGAAGAAGACTCGAGCGTATATGTTTGATGCGAAATTACCAGAGATCATGTGGGATCTGGCTCCGTCTGCCGCTGTATACGCATAGAATTGAACTCCTCACAAATCACATGAGATGAAAACACCATTGGAAGAGTTTGCACCAGGACTTCGTTTCGAAATTAACAAAATTAAAAGATTCGGCAGTTTAGCGTACATGAAAGTTCAAAGGAAAACTGGACCGAAATTCAAGGCAGTAGGTATGAGGGGTGTCTTGGTAGGATATACACATACGGGTTATATTTTGCTAAGACCCGAGGATGGAAAAATCTATGAAAGTAGACATGTTAGATTCAATGAAAAGAAGGTTTATGGTGATAAATACGGTAGAAGTGAAATTGAGGTTTTTCCTGATGCTCAAGAAGTAATAAATAAAAGTGATTGGTTTGTAGTCTTTGATAAGTGTGAGAATGATTTGGAAAAGGTATTAAAATCGGAGGGAGTATCTAAGAGGAAAAGAGGTAGACCGAAGAAGGTAAACCCAGGGTCAGAAATAAAAGAACAAAGTAAATCATCTAGCGAAACAGATCTCCCGAAATTACCAATTAATGAAAATTTGAGTTCAGGATTACTTTTGGCGTGTTTATCACAGGGTGAGGATGAACTAGGCTTGGACAATTCAACTGATGAGATATGTCATGCTCTTCTGGCTGACATAAATTCAGATCCGATAAGTTTCAAAGAAGCTATGCAAAGAGTAGACAAGAATGACTGGGTTGCAGCAGTAGAGGACGAGTTAAATTCAATGGATAAAAATAAAATTTGGAAAATCGTAGATTGACCCATCAGTAACAAAATTGGTCAGAAAGCTAATATAATTGATTCAAAATGGGTATTTAAACGTAAATTAAAAGCAGCTGGAAAAATAAGACATAACGCCAGACTAGTCATTCGAGGATTTAAAGATCGAAATGTCTACGAATTACGAGAGACTTAGGCACCAGTATCAAGAATGAATTTGGTCAGGGCCGTATTTGCAATTATTAACAAATATGATTTAGAAACATGTCAACTAGATGTAAAGACGGCATTCTTAAATGGTGAAATCGACGAGGAAATTTACAGGGAGATTCCTGAGGGAACTCTACATTCAGATCTGGATAGGAAGACGAAAGTCCGTAAGCTAGAAAGGACTCTCTATGGACTTCGAATAAGTCCAAAACGTTCGAACAGAAAATTCACTGAAGTCACTCTTAGCGTTGGTCTTGTTAACTCTGATCTAGAGCCTTGCTTATTTACTTGGAGTCTTGATAATAAACATTTGATCTTGCTGTGGAATGTCGACGATATTATAATGGCAAGTAATGATAAAAGTAAACTTGACGAATTTAAAGCAGCCTTGAGTTATGCATTTGAAATGACAGTTGTAG